TATCTTAGATAATCTTATATTATCTTAGATACCTTATTATCTAAGTATCTTTTATCTTATCTTATCTTATCTTATCTTATCTTATCTTATCTTATCTTATCTTATTTTATCTCTATCTTAACATTTTAATATGATATACCTAGTTATAAAAGGTCAGTTGTACCTACTCTTTATCTTATATTAGCAATAACTCGTCTCCTATTTACATAATATTAAAGAGTTCCAACCACTGCCAGTCCCATGGGCCTCTTTGCACAAGCTACATGTCAGGCTTGTAATTGCTATAATCAGAATGAGCGATCGAGCCATTTTTCCTCTTCCTTGCACTCTTATTAATACTCCATCCATGCATCTAAGATTTCATGCCCACCTTGCTTCTTGCATTGCCACATTGACTCCATAGATTGTAGACATCTTGGGAATAAGTGTGTTGGCCCAATGCTGAAGCCGGGCTTTGTCTGGGAGATGCAATTTCTGCTCCAGGCATAAGGCTCTTTAGTTCAAAGCTTTCTGTATCCAAGACTCAGAGTTCACCCCCATCTTGTGCTCTGGGGGCTTCAATTTTACTTTAAGACTCAATCCTAAAGCTTTCAGCTTTATATGAAGGATTCTGGAATCATATTGTGTAAGGTTGCCTGTTCATAGTCTAGTTTTTAAAATATCAGTAAGCACTAAGGAATAACAAATAGTAGCAGCATCTTCACATCTCTCCTTCTTTTGAAGGAAGTTCCTAATTCAGTTCAGAGGCAAAAGAAAAGACAGTAGCCCAAAAAAGAAGGAAGGGATCTTATAGGGAGGGTGGTCACAGACCCCAAGCCCTTCCCCCCAAAAAGGACTATATGGCACTATATACACATTCCATGCATCAGAAATGCACAGGGTATTTTTTCAAAGCCTTTGGGCAGTTCCTCAGGCCCTTCCATAAAGTGCTACCAACTTACGATTTTTAATAGGACAGAGGGAGAAAACTTAAATATATAAGAATTATTAATGTAAGTGTATTACCTTGCAATCTTGCATATTTGGTTGTCTTATGTATATCACTCTTGTAAGCCTCTCAGTCTTGTAAGCCTAACTTTAATTAATTGACACCCTTGGAATATTAGAATTGATCAATTGTCTGTACCTTTAAAGGTATATTTATTTTAAGTAATGAAGACTTAAGACAACTGGTACTAAAGGGCTTTGCTTTGGGGGCCCAAGCATTAGAAGAAAGAACATTCCTCATTCTGAATTATGACTTTATTAGAGATTTTTCATTTCTCTTAAGTAAGATGCTCATGATATAGCTTAAAGCGAGTCATATCCTTCGTATTTAAAAACTTTTTTAAATACAAAGGGGGATTTTAGAGAGATAAAATAAGTAACTGGCCATCATCAAAGAGAAGGATGTGCATGTTTCATTGCCATGTAAATGAGTATGAATATCTGCTTTATGCAAACACAGAGTTTGCTTTATTGCTCTTTCAATGAATAACACTGAACTATGTTGAGAAAGAAAGGTCTGCCTTGGGTAAATTGTATAGAATGGAATGGTAGTAAATTTCCAGAGGAGATCGAATACTTCATTTAATAAAACAGGACTTTAACTGTTATTGTCAAATCTCCCTCCCTCTTAGAAGCTGATCTGCCATTCCATTTTCAAGGTTACAGAAGTTAGTCATTTTCTACCTCTCCCCCAAATCTACAGCAGAAGCTGATGAAAGAAAAATAGTCACCTGTGATTTTATACTCTTAAGGATATTGATAGGTGAGATTCTTTATCTAGAGCTTGCTGTCAATCAGAATTACTGGACTTAAAAGCAAACCCTCAAATGACATTATGCATGTGTGTGGGTTTTTTTGTTTTTTGTTTTTTGTTTATCTGCACTCAGTCGTTACCGACTCTGCAGTGACTGCTTTTTTTGGACGAGTCCTTGCAGTTTTCAAGGCAAGGTGTTTTGGAAGTGGTTTGCCATTGCCTCCTTCCTAGAGCAGAGCCCAGCTGGCGCGCGCAGGAGGCGGGTTTCCATTGCTTCGCGCCTTTTTCGGCCGTGCGCGGCTTCCGCGTTACTAGCAACTGCTCCCGACTCCTTTTGCAAGGCGCCGCCAGCATTTTTCGTCCCACTGGAGTGAGAGTACCCATTTATCTACTCATGTAAGTTTCCGAACTGTTGGGTTGACAGGAACTGGGGGCGGAAGCAGGAGCTCACCCTGTTGCACGAAGCCTGGCTCGAACCACTGAAGTGTCAACCATTTCTGGCCGGCAGCTTTCAGCGTCATTAAGCCACTGCACCACCGCATCCCCCCATGCATGTGTGTATGAACTACTGTACTTATTAGAGTTCTTTCTTGGGCTGAGAACTCTTGTGTTGCAATGGCATCCTTGATATTGCCCCAGGGACTGTCATCTCCTGAAAATAGGTATTTGTAATAGAAATTGTGACTTCTATCTGTCTTATGTTTATCACTGTAGTCCTATGTTCCCATTAAATATTGTTGCAAGATATATACATTTCTCCTTTGGTACTCTTTTTAATCAATCTGCCTTAATTATTTTGTACAGCTAGATAGCAATGGAATTGCTGTTTTCAATTTTAGACTGGAACCAAGATCTGTCTTTGATTCATTACCATTTGGTAGTTGACAGAGTTAAGCATTTCCATTGCCAGACACAGCTTCCAGGAGAACTAAAGTGACAGAAACTTTCCTAGATGATATATGCAGGAAAGGTGAATATATTTGTGCTTCCTATTTTTAAATGCACAGAATTATTATTGTAGTAGTTTATTAATCCATTATACTCCTTGTTATCACACTCTTATAGGGTAAGAGTGGTTTTCAGTGTGAAAATAATAGTGTCCTAATGCATCCTTTTCACATTAAATTTCACTTAAAAATGTTGGAGAGGTTTTTCAGATACAGTTTCTCTGCATTATTGCATAGAACTAAATGGAAATACCATTCTAAGAAAGTTGAAGTTGAAACCTCCCTGAATTGCCATCCTGACTTCCATTTCATTGGTTACCAAGATTTTCTCAAACAGGCAACTTCAGAGACTTTATCTGCTATAATTCCTGAATGTTCGATTGGCTGAAAGCATGGAAGATATTTCCAAAACGTTTGAAGGAATTATTACTGAAGAAATCATGTGACCCAGAAAGAATTTGTATGAAAATGGTAATGCATTATGCATTCCTTGTATTCTGATTTATATTCTCTATTTCAGGAATACTGATAAACCATTTCTTCTGTTCCTGTCATACCCTCAAGTCCATACAGCTCTTTATGCATCACCAGCTTTTAGAGGAAACAGCAAACATGGCTTATATGGGGATGCTGTGGAAGAAATGGACTGGAGTGTAGGTATGTAGGTTGTGTGATCACTCAGATGTGTTACCTGTCCTGAAACAATGACGTTTTAGAAATTGAGCCTTGTAAATTCCTTGTACAGAGTTTACTTTGGCATATGAACATAAAGGTTATTGTCCCAAATCATTCTTTCAGGAGTAAGTCAGGTAAGATTACAATGTCTATCTCAGTAGTTTTTGCTGAAAAGTTAATGTTTGGTGCAGTCTTAGATAATTGGAAAATGATTGCTAAAAGCAAGTGTGTTTTTTCCAATTCTGAACTGTCAAAACAAATTATTTGGTAAAACTGTTTTAAAAGGTGACAAGGATTTATATTATGGTAACAGAAAAAACATTTGGACTAAGGATAGAATTAAACATAACCATAAGGAGAAAGAGGTAACCACTGTATGTCATGTGTTTTAAAAATGTATATGATGACTTTCTGCCAAATATGATACTTGACAAAATGTTTTTCCATTCCTCCTCACACAATCTTGTGTCAGTATAGTATCAGGGCAATATATGGCAGAGCTCATAAGTAAGAATATGGAAAGAGACATGCAGTGGTGACAACTACATATTTTTTTAAAAAAATATCTAGCCCTGTTATAATCCTGATCATAAATTTATTGTGTCTTAATCCTATCCACTCTGCAACCCAGGAGTGATCCAATTTCTTTTCCAAGAAAGAAAAGGCTGTATATGCGGAAGGGCATTCCCCTGTTTCCTTTTTTGGGAAGTGGTACTATAGGATTCATAGTCTTGAATAAGGCAGACATGGATGAATCTGTGGGAGATAGGAAGACTGTGTGAGAAACACTCCTAGTATATTTCATGTGGCAACTTATAAATACCAAAAAGAAAAAAAAAGTTTGAGTGAATATGGAATGAGTTTTTCTTCTTCACATTCTGAGGTGATCTTCAGACTGAGCAGATATGAATAGCATCATTGAACACTTGAAATTGGCTTGACTAATATGTTAACGTATATCCAGATGACAGAAGGGGAAAATTGTTGGATAGCCATTCTAATATAGGGAGAGGGGGACAAGGAAGTTAGATGATATTCATTGTGACATAACCTGGAATCTGAGATGGTTATTCTGTGGTTGCACAAAGAAATGTTCTAAGCTGTGACTATAAACAATGTTAATAAGCCTTAGGGTTAAACTCAAATTCTCTTCCCCAGGTACTTATTTTGTACTGGACCTCAAATGGAGTTAAAATAAACAGCTCCCAGCCATTCTGTGGCTTGTCTTAGGATCCTGTCATAAATGGGGAACATCCCTAAAACCCCTCCATGGGATTGAGAGAGCCCTACTTAACTCTCTACCTACTTTAAAAAAAAAAAACTAGTGTGATCGGATTAGTCCAGAACCTGAAATAATTTTGTGAGTGTCAGATACTCAGCTAATATCAGAAAGAAAGTATTAGTGTATACAGTATGTGTAAACCTGAGAACAAACCATGGAAAAAAAATTCACCAGCATCTGCTTGTATCTGCAGCATTTAAATTCACTGTCAAATTCTGATAACGATATAATCTAATGGAAATTTGGTGTGTTACCCTTTCTTTTAGATTGTTCTCATTAATTAATGGTAATTATTAATAGTTTGAAGACAAATAAAACTGAGAAAGAAATTGCATTGCACAAAGAGCCTCTCAGAGTGTGCTAATTTATCAGGTTTTGCAGAATAGCACATTATCGGTGGGAATATTGGAATGACTCTTCATTTCTAGAGGTAATCATCTGTGAAAACAAGTTTGCACTTGAAACAATCAAGCTGAAATGCCAGAGTGTCATAAGATAATATTCCCCTTTCATTCCTTCTGCACATTAACTTCCAATATATTTCTGATTTCTATAAAGCAAAAGTACAAAATTACATTCAGTAAATAATATATGTATTAAAGTTTCGAAAACTGATTTTCACCTCTGCAGCAGAAGCATGATTTATAATTGAAAGGGAATGCTTTGATTACAAATTCACAGAGTTCAATTTCGTTCGCTTTTCTAGTTCAAATTTACCACTGAAATTTTGCTTATGAATTTCAAGAGCAACAGGCTCAAGGCAAGAGAGATTATTTAAAAAATATACCCATCTTCATAGGAACTAGCTTAATCTTCAGAAATATTGTTCCATATGCATTTTAAAAATGGAAAACAATTGTCAGTCTTGTGGCAATTCATGAATTTCCTGACAAGCTCACCTTGCTGTCTTACAGAAATGGTTCTTTCAGCCAGGAAGCCACTGTCCCACCAGTACTTAATGCATTAGAAGCAGCAGGGAGACAACATAATAAACAACATAATGCCTATGTTATCTTTGGATTAAGATTGCATTTTGGGATAAAAGTGGACAAAGTTTATTAGCATGAAGCACCAGAATATGAACTGGGTAGCTACATTACCATTTTTAGCACAACTTCTACCTTTAGCCGATTGTATGATATTATCCTCCCACTTGAACATATGATCTGTGTGCCAGCCCAAGTTTTGAATCCTGTGGCATCTGGAGGTGGAGGGGAGTGTCAAAAAAGTTAAAAAGGTAGTCAAGTTCACCAGTCAAAGCCCTGCTGTGTGTATGTGTGTGTGTGTGTGTGTGTGTGTGTGTGTGAATATCACATGCACTGTACATTTAAAGAAGCAGGGCTTCAATTACAACCATCTTCTTGACTTCTTTGTAACCCCAGTCTCTACTCTGATCCCTTGTGGAATCTCCTATTCCCATTTTACAGATGTTCCACATTATCCAAGGTGACAAAGCAGCTATAACATCAATTTTGAATATGAATTATTATATATAGACTTCCCTATAAAGAAGGCAATTTCAACCCCACAAAATTACCCCACAAAATTACCAGTCAATGTACACACAGGTAGAATCTTCCTAGCCCTATTAACCAGTGATTGAAGTCCAAAGCAATGTTTAAGCATAGTGAGGTGGGAAATCTGTTATTGGAGCCCACTAGTCAGGAACCAATGCCTTTAATTTGGTCCCTTATCGTGTTAAACTTGTATAAGTTTGGAAAAGCCATTTGTCTCCTTCCCTTTCTCCCTACTTCCCTATTTGCACCTTGAAAAGTTCACTCCCATTGAACAGGAACAATACCATAGCTTTAATGTATCAGTTTGCAGTACATTTAAGACAAAATTATTTTTATGGGTATTCGATAATCCTACCAGCAAATCTTAAGCCATTGTGATTTGTATGAATTCTTTTCATAGATACCTTAGCATGTGTTCTCAGATTCTATATTTGGATTAAGATATTGCCATAGGATTACCTGCCTTCAAATCCGTAATTGATATTAATTAATAATTATCATCATCAATAGATTATTTGCAAAATATAAATATCATTTAAACCTGTTCTGGACAAAATGCATGCATCTACACAAACTGCTTGGTCTTCTAGATAAACTTGAAATAATAATGTAGGACATCTTGTCATAAGATGTTTTGTCTTGTTTTTACTATAATGGTTGCTAGCTGCTATAGTATTTCCTTCAAAAATCTTTCCTTTTTGAACACAGGAAATCAATCCATCAGTACCTTTAAGTTTTTCAAATGTTTATTTCTTTCTCTTATTTTCCACAAGAACAAAAGTTATGTTAATAGTAGCCAATATCCCACCCTAGAAAGTTCTGTAATAGAATGTGTTTGGCTGTGGTGAATTCTTCTTGAGTGCAGGACCTTAGGATGTTACTTTCATGGAACTAGCAGTACTTAGTATTTTAAAAGTTAATCACTCCTCTAAAATTGAGGCATGCAGCTTCTCACCAGGCTTTATTAAGCATTTAGAAGCTAAATTCAAAAAAATGGGCAGTGTGAAGATCAAAGTGGGTCCAACTATGCTGGGTTTTCAAAGAAGCCTCAAGCAAATAGCAAATCACTACATGTGTGGACCCACTTATGGATTTAGTTCACTAGTTCATCAAATCTAATCTTACTTATGTTGACTAGCAGTAAGTTTACATGTCTTCAGGAACTCTTTCCAAGTTTCATTTGAATCTGTATATAAGACTTTTTGCATACAAGCATAGGTGTCTGTTACAAGACACAATGACGTCAAAACAATAATGCAAATGTCATGAAATCATCACACATATAATCACTTACGTATTGTGTCATGATATTAGCATTTGCATCTCTTATCCTTCTGTGGAAACCCATCTATAGAAATTATGTGGTTTACCATCCAATATATGATTGTTCTTCATTAAGCTGAATACTAAAGTGACTGGACAACAATTGAAAGGCTGTAGGATCAGTGATAGTGTACATGCTTTTCATACAGAAAGTCCCAGGTTCAATATTTAGCATAATTTTATTGGATTTGAAATACTTTTGCCTGAGATTCTAAAGCAGTGTTTCTCAACTTTGGCAACTTTAAGATGGGTAGACTTCAACTCCCAGAATTGTGGGAGTTGAAGTCCACCCATCTTAAAGTTGCCAAGGTTGAGAAACACTGCACTAAAAAAATGCTGTCAATCAGTGTTAAGTACACTCAGCAAATGGATTTCCTATAAAAAGCTTCCTACATACCTTTAAAAACTTTCCATCCTGTACATTCCAAAGTTTCTCATCTCATGGCAAAGAACAGGGGAATTTCATGCTGCAGTGCAACTCTATTATCAGTACAATGAGATGATTTTTTTCCTGTCCTTTCACTTTGAAAATTTATCCTTTTATTTCTAAACAGACAGGTAGGGGAAAAGACAGACTGCATCCTGCCCTCTTTCTACTAATATTAATTAGTGTCAAGTACATATTCCTGGAAGGTTATCTGCAGGCATTACCATTAACTTCCTTTGATTCTTTATTTTATTATCGAATTATGAATACTACAGCAGAATATATCCTTGTTTACTCAATTTATATGACATTCAAAAGCATTGTGGGACTTTGTAATGTCCATTTATTTTCTGCATGGATTTCTAGAACATGTGAACTATGCTAATATTAAGTAAAGCCCATTTAAAATAAAAAAACTTATACCCCCCTTATA